TGTCCAAATAAAGTTCAGCTATCTTTGCAGCATCAACAAAGGCATCCAGGCTTGAATTACCCTTGCCTCTGCTGCTATTAGTGAGCTGTGCTCCTTGCTATCAACTGGAAAAAAGTTTGGAAATAGAAAAAATTTGAAAACAAACACCAAACCCCCTAGTTTAAGGTAAGCCACGAATAATGTTTCTAATAGTAGGTAGTAGGTAGTAGGCAGCTACCAAACAGGGAGGTACTACCGCCTGGGAAGATATTGGAAGCATAATGTGTTGTCTAATGGTAGACCCTGCTGCCATATGGCATCACAAAAATTGTGATTATGTCCCAGGTTGCTGATCTGTCTTTCTGCCTCATTTACACACAATTGCAGGGTCTCAATATTGTTTCTCTTACTATTGACAACACAACATACATACTGTACGTACATCATTTCTCACTTTTTATATATATTTATTATTTTTTTTTTCATTTTTGTATTTCTTTATGGTTCTTTACTATTTATATTACAGTGTTGTTATAATTATTATTATTATTGTTATCACTAATAATGCTAGCATTATTATTTTTTTATTTCTTATTATAAATTTTACTTATCGGAATTATTATTATTGCATCCCCCCCCCACCGGCCCCAATGTGGGTCAGTGACTTGTGCCACAGTGGGCTAAACCCCGTAAAAAAAAAATACAAAAAAATTGTCTGAGGTGTCTCTGTAGGTGTGAGTGTATTAACAGAATTAATCTCGATTTAGTGAACTAGTTCACTAAATCGAGTGAAAATAACGGAAAAAATTCCTTCCGCTAAATTGGGAGTTTGTTATATCGGATGCCATTAAGTTGAGAGTATACTGTATCAGGATCGAAGTAACACTAGCAAAATGACAGCTACAATGGGTAGGACACATTATCAGCATGTCAAAACATCACCAATCTTGACAAGTCCTTTATGGGCAGTTACTAGGTGGTACTACCAAAAGATTTAAGGGCCAAATTAAAGGGACTGTGAAGAAGTGTCACTGGCAGCCAAATGACCTCAAAGCAAAAGTTGTCAAACAACCATTATAGCACTCAACCTGTGTCAAAGGTGTGTTGCCCAGCTACTCCCACCCAATTCAGCTTTTACAAGCCCCAACTGTGGATGGAGGTGCACCTCAAGAATTGAACTACATAGCCATCAACTGTGGCACTGTTGTCAATGGCATCAACTTATCCTCATCCACACTTATAATTAACTGGAGCAATGTTATTGTCAGTATCGATGAACCTCCATCATAAGCAACTGAGAGACTTCCCACAATACTTCTATTTTTATTACCCAAAGGGGTGAATGAACAGTTTTTGATTACTGAAAATCTGTTTGCCTTACAGTTCAACTTCGCTCACTAAAAATCGTATCTTTATACACTGCAAGAGACAGCTTATTTTGCGTCTACTGTATTGTACTATTCTGTACTGTACTGTACAATTACAAGAACAGATCAGAGTTCAGATTTTTGAAGCTTCATAGTGTATTTTCCTTGTGAGAAGAATAATTAATAATGCACATAAGTAATCATACAAATATTGCATAGCTACCAAAATGATTTTGCCATTGTGCTGCAACTCCACTATAATTATTTGCTTTCTCTTCTCATCACCAACAGGAAGTCTTTCTAATGAAGGATTCTTAAAAAATTCAAGGTAAATATTACTTTTCCTAATAGACAATACTGAGCCTCAGGTAAAATAGCAGTGCATCAGCCAAACTGTCACTGCTTTAACTGAATTATTAATCAAAACTTTTAGTAGTAGAGTGAGGGGCACTCAGGCAGTGGAGTAATTATTTAGATTAAATGGTTAGTAGTATGATGAGCACATTTCTAAGCTGTATCAGTCCACTATAAAAACACCAATCCTGACTGACTGGCTGACTGAGGGAACCTTTTGATCAGCTAGAACTGACACAGATTATACCAATTCTTGCTCCTCTTTGGTAATCTGATCCTTACTGGGAAGTGTAGAGACCAAGTTGTTAATTTGTTAGGCTTAAATGGAAATACCCAAAAACTGAGATGAAATTCAATAACAATATCTCTGACTATCATCCTGAGTAAAAATAAATACAAACTTAAACTAAAAACCCTAATCTATAATAATAAAAGTGGTATATTATTCAAATCAGGTCCCTGTAATAGACAAACAAGTACAGTTAAAACAACAGCATACACCTCCCCATGATGCAAATATCTAATTTTCTAAACTTGTGGGGTACCTAACTCCTGAAAGTTACACGTAATCAAGTTTGGAGAGACATCATCCTAAACACTAATACAGTACCAAACAAAACAAAATGTATGATACTGTATCTCTGCAGGTAATTAACAGGAAAACTTGTTATATAAAAGGTCTACTAACACACACAGTTATTGATTGCCAAAGTACTGTACTTATTTCTGGCAATCAACATGTCATAATTGTATTTTAAGTCGACAATTTATATTTATTTTCTCAAAATTTTAAGTATTTATGTTGTTCATTTATGAAGCAAAATAGATACGTTTACTTTCAAAAGCAACAGACTTTCATTATCTTTTATCTCTTACAGTATAGAAAACTTGACGTCTCATAAACATTACCTATACAGGGGGTCCCCGACTTACGAATGTTCAACTTATGAATGCCTGCCGATACGAATGGAGTTAAACTTGAAATTTACAATACAGTGATCCCTCGGTTAACAAACGCCTCGGTTAACGAAATTTCGGTTAACGAATTACCTTCTATAAGAATCTTCAATTCGGTTAACGAACAAAAATTCGGTCAACAAAATTTTTACGAAATCATGTCAACATGTTTTCGCTTGCTCACCAGCTGGAATATTAGTCCGCCAATTTAGTAATTGGTTCTAGGGTTTAAATTCGTTCCCATTTGAGTAAATATCAAGGAGGTTGTACTATTCAATAATTTTCCAAGTTTTATATTAAAATTTTTAGTCATTTCAACACTTATTTAACATAATTGCAGTACAGGAAACTAGTTTTTGGTGTGCCATTCAACCACTTGACTCACCCAGCAAGGTGTCAGTTTGTATCTCTGGTCAGTGGAGGTTACATCTTGCTTGTGGCTCTCTTGAACATTAACTATTTTTACATTTTTACAGTACAATTATTGGTCATTCTAAAATTTATTTTACATATTGACAACATATAGTGCAGCGCAGTGTTGATTTAAAGAAAATAATCTTGAATTACACCTAGTGAACTTAAAATTTTATGGGTGAAATGACGGCATGAAGCATGGGGATGATTTCTCTTCCACCCCCACTTCCTTCTCTTCTCTCTTCTCCTCCACCCCCACTTCTAATTCCCATCATCATCATCATCAACCAGGAGCCTTCTACATACACACCTCAAATTAAGTGTACTTTACTGCATTTATTTTTACTTTGTATGTAATTTTCGGTGAGCTGGAACCAATTCCCCAAAATTCCATTGAAACAATGGTTTCGGTTAACGAAATTTTCGGTTAACGAACGAATTGTGTTCGTTAACCGAGGGACCACTGTATTTTATTTACCTGATGACTTATTTTTTACTTTAATTTACTGTATCTTGTCATTCTATTTATTCCTTTGTCTTAAATTAAGTTATTTTAGATGTATGTAAGGACTTATGCTATGATACAGTGGGATTTTAAACATTGTTCTGTAAGTACAGTATGCACCTAGCATGTGTTCCGACTTAAGTACAAATCCTACTTAAAAACGTCTTCAGGAACGGAACCTGTTCGTAACCCGGGGACTCCCTGTCTACAACTCTACTCTATTATTATATTATTCAGTCATTCAATTAAAATTAAATAAGTATAAGCATGAGATAAATACAATATACAGTAACAAAAATATGATATGAGTATGCATACATTTGTGACATTAGTATGACATTAGCATAAGTGTTACATAAATATTAAGAAGTCAAACAAACGTGAGTCAAGTATCATGTGAGTATTAGCTGCATGTGAGTATTAAGCTTGATTGATAACAAAAACATTAATGCTTTAACTCCAAAATGGTTTTCAGCTTTACTAGTTTACTGGATAAATGTGAATGAATCATTATTCACATTAAATAATACATACCTGTAAGGTAATCAAAATATAGTACAGTAATCATAATGTACAAGTACACAGTTATTAAATATCATCTGTATGTGCACTGAAACTGCCTTAGTGATGCATGCATGCCTGTGTTCAATACCCAGCTACACCAAGAGGGACTCCCAAGCCAGCTTCAGTCCATCTTGTGTAACCCCACATCAGACTGACAGATGCATTAACAGTGCATTGAAAAAATGTTTGGTGGTTGAAATTTATGGGTTCTTGAATTTTCTTTCTTGTACAGCACAGAATTAAGAAAATGACTAATTTCAAATAATGTATCATATTACAACCCGAATAAATTAATTAGCCTTTCAAAATGAAATGATAACAAAACGTTTGTGACAATTTTCTGAATAGGGGGAAATTAGATGTAATTAAATTCCTAAGAATATCAGCTAGCTAGTGATTAATAATTTTCATGTACTGTACAGTATGTCATTATAATTGATGGAAATTCATATAAAAACATCGACACAATCTATAATCTCTTTGAACACAGAAATGGTGGGAATAACTAATTAGGTTATTTCTTGCTATCAAACACTAGGCACAAAATTGAAGATTATGAGATTCACATATACAGTAATTAGTAAAAAACATTATTTGTCTACATGGCACTAGTATAATGCTGGGACACAGGAGGACATTGTGGGGTGTTAAGAGTCTGACGATTCTCGGCCCCTTCAGGAGGGTCTCGAGTGTCATGCACTCTAGTCACTTGGTCATGAGAGCGTCCACCCGAGTCAAGTACACGGTTAGGAGCGTCTTGTGCACGACCAGGTTCGTGTATACGTCTCCGTTTGCTGTCAATAATGCGCACACTGTCTGTAGGATGGACAAGCTCATTGCTATAATACCAGCGTACATACTTGCGATATTCGTCCTGACGACGACGATCAACGTAGCTAAATATGCAGGATGCCGGAACCCAAATTATGACAGAGACAATGATGACTGTCCCCACAATGTTGTCACGAAGGAACATCAAAACTGTATTGATATTGATATCTTCAATGATATCCCAGAAGCGCTCTACAACATCTTGTACTGTCTTCTCACATTTACCCTGAAAAGAAAGTTCTATTAATCAAGCACTTTATAAGAGAATGTATTCTCAAGTTCTCTGCATTAAGGATGACATTATCATGAACACAGAATGAGCTTGAAACATGTTTGTTTTTTTTCAAATTTTTCACTACATTTATTTTTTTTTTTAACTCAAAAAATTTTCTTGCACTTGACTAGCTGGAAAAATAAAGTTTAAAAGGAGATATTTTGCATAATTCTGATGACATTTCCGACTTAACTGGTGATAAAGCACAAATAATTTTTAATTAATGTGTGAAACATTATTGAATTCATGTAATCAAGTCAAGAAATATTGTATTGTTCCTAAAAATATAATTTATAATAAAGATAAGAATGAAGTCATATCTATTATTGGTCAAATCTACTGGTTGGAAACCCTGCATACCCTCGACACTGATGGCTGGCACTAAGGAGACAAGTGTTAGTTTTCACCCATTGCAACTATCCTCTTAAATAGAGGTGATTAAAAGTGATAGTTACCACGAAATGCTGACAACTGTTAAGCCTTGGTACTGCAGTTGTCTTGTGAAACCTCATCTTTCATTGTTTACTGTTGGCCATAGTGGATTTCCATTACCATGCTAAGTTCCACCATTCCCCCAAAAAGACTGCCCAGCTCCAACTAACAGAGCTATTAGACATCACACAACAGGGAAAAGTCAATAGCTAAGTACTGCATTGTCTTCTTAGCCTATTAGCTAGAACATGAATGTAAACTTGGTCAATTGGATTCAAATTTATTTGTATTCAGGCACTAATTCATAAATGGCAGATCACTCAGTTCAGCGTGATGAGTGAGAGATTTGGCAGTCAGGGCTCAATGATGCCTCCAGCCCCTCCCCCTTCTGTATCATTCCCCTTCTTTTAAGGGAAGCAGTTCAAGGGGATGGGAAGGGTACTCAATATATCTGTCATTTAAGGGTCCTATCTAAGGACTCGAAGAACCCCTTGTAAGTTGCCCTATATAATGATGATCACCTGGCTTGAGGATGACAGCCAAAAACCAATATGAAATCATGTGCTACCCATGACACAATACAGGTGTGGTGCCACCACCAACTGGCTGAGGTTAACAAAGTCTAAAGTCATTATGCTCATAATGCATGAAGTGTTTGGCCTAGCCATAATATCCCCACCAAGTACTGATATCTATATGGGGAATGATCTTAAATTTGGGATTTGAAAGAAAGCTATCAGGCTGATGTTTGACCAGGAAGATAACTGAACTGATGCTTGGCACTAGATATCCAATACTGTATGGACGATGGCAAACAATGGAAGGTACAACAGTGCATAGCAAATATGGCACCACGACTATAGTGCATTTTTTCTCAGCTGAGAAAAGATGCCCGCCCCCTCCTCAAGAGTTAGAGCTGATTGGCTGTTGCAAACCTGTCCGATTTTGTCCTGAAGTAATGATGTATTTCTAAATGAGTTTATTCATAATCGTTGGGATGACCGTTTCTGACGAGAAAGATATTTAGCTAAGTTATATAAAGATACATACATTCAATACTTCAAATATAAGCACGTAGGAAGTTTAGCAGAAGTATTATACATGAATTACTGTTAAACTCTGGTAGCAAATTCATGCTTTCGGAGGATGCATTTAATAGACATTTATTTTTACCCACAATAAGGCATACTAAGACAAATTGCGTATCAGTAATACTACATTATGCAAAAACAACATTTTAAAGGTCAGATTCACATTGAAATATTACACGACCGTTAGCAGAGGAAAAAAAAATGAAGTTGATAGCAGTCATTTCCATACCTCTCTGCTGGCCCGGTGGTAGCAATATTTCAGTGGTTCTGATCTTTTAAAATGGTTAAAATGGGAGAAAATTACTTAGCACTTGATTACCACCTGCCATCGATGTCAAGGGTAAGCTTAGTCCCACCGTTTGACTTGACTGGCAATATATTGTAAACATGTCTCCTTGGGCAGAGGAGAATTCCCAACACAATCCATTAAGGAGAGAATAGGGAAGTTAAGAGGAGTAGAGAGAGCAAAGTTATAATGTTGCAGGCAGCCTAAAGGGTCTTCTGTTGTGTCTTAGGGAACTCCATGTAGAATTGAGTCATCATACATAATTCTTGGTCAGTCACATCGATCTTTTAGCCTTGCCTGTTTGCAGGGGCAGATCCAGGAGGGGGGGGGGGGAGATCCCTAGGGATCCAGACCCCCCTTTTCATCAGAAAATTCCAATACTTTTCTTTAATGCAGTACTATGCAGTACTCAGCCATTTTTGCAAAGTAAAAAGTAATTACTATTGACCTCAGAATATCTCTTAATATCAAGTGCACATGGCTTCAATGCCCATGATATTGGTCAGATTAAAAAAAAATCAACCCCCCCCCCCAAAAAAAACAGCTGGGTGGGCTCGCTGTGTTCATCATGTTCTCCCACCTACAACTTCTTGGACCCTCTATTTGAAATTCCTGTATCCGCCCCTGCAACCAATCCATGCCAGTCATTACCTTGTTGCAAAAGCCATGGATGCAAGGAGTACCATCAGGAAGGATGTCAACAGGCATCACCGGAAAACATGTGTCATTGAGGGTCTTGCGACAACATCTTTTGCAAGCATCATCAACTGAAATTGGATATATAGTAATTAGAACAATAAATTCAAAAATGTGTTCTGTAAAATAAACAAAAGACTTAATGACAAAGTTGTTATATACAACCTACTCTCATTAAATAAGTTTTGCTTAGCCGGTATATGATAAAAAAAAAAAAAAGTTCTTCCCAACACAATGCTCAAATTTTGGCTATATGCAGCTGGACATTGTTTTGTAGCTTGGGTGTGTGCTGGCCAATTTGCTTGTCACCAGGTGTACACATAAGATAGGTATACCAACTCTAACAGCCACAATCTTCCACAAGGGGTGGTGGAATTTACTAATGTTCAAGAGCAATAATGAGTTCTAGGTAATTTCACAACTCCGACTGTTTATTACCCTTGAGTTACACTGGCACCTATCTATAGTGCATCTAAAAAGAGTTGGTGAAGTGAAGAAAAGCTGTAAAGCAATTACTTTTGTGCAGACAGTTTAACTGTTTTATAAGCTGGAGAGCTGCACAAGTGTTGCTGCAGTTGATGGGAATCTGGTATGAAAGAATGAACAATACATATAGTATGCAGTAGGACTAAGGTTATCAGGAGTCCAGGTAACTGGTACCCTCAAAATTAAATAATAATAATAATAATTCTTTCTGTCTCCCTCAAGCGTCGACTGGCGCGAGTGGCCAACGTGAGCTGTTGCCAGTGGCGGCTGAGCTCGACTGACTCATGGAATTACATGCCAGAATGGAGTTGCCATTTATAATATTTTGTTGTCAAAAAAATCTGATATCATACTTTACTACATTAAACTCCATTTAACCCAGACTTGCTTAATCCAAATCCCTTTGCACACTGGACATGTATCCCCAAGTTGGAAAAAAATGACCAAAATCAGGTTAGTACGGGGGAAAGTTTGCGTTCGGGGGCTGCCACTGTGGTGGAGGTGGTTGCTGAGGAGCACTAAAGTGAAATGTCTAAGAAATATAAATAGTGTACAGTACATACAGTCAATGAAATTAGCAGTGAAAACATATCCTTCACTCCACCTGAATAAATTCTCTCCAAAGTTGTTTCAATAAAAGATTCTTAAACAAAATTCTTCTATGAATAAAACATAAGAATTGTTTATACCGGAGTCTATAAAATCAGTTATAATTAAGTTAAAACACCATATATATGTATGTATGTAAATCGGGGTACTACTGTATATATATGTATATATGTATATATATATATATATATATATATATATATATATACAGTTGTACCCCACTTAACGCGGTCAATAGAACCCAGAGGGTCCCGTGTTAAGTGAAATCCGCGTTAAGTGAACAACAGAACATATGGGATTAATTCCAATAGAAACCAGCCCGACCCCCAAACTCCACTTTTTGAAGACACATAACTATGTTGTAGTAAAAATAACATCTTAATTTTATGATGGTACATGCACACAATTAATACTTAAGAGAAATAGAGAAATACAGTCGCCAAGTTAATGTCCATTCAAATAATGGACTCAACTCCCTCCCCTCTCACACTACACTGCCGGCTCTTCCCTCTCTGAGAAATTTTTGGGGGAAAACCACTAAATTTTAATAAATAATACCTCAAACTAAAGTTAGGATAATACAATTGACATTGCTGGATTCCTTGTAAGACCAGGAATATTTTGAATATAAATGTCATATATTTTGCACAAAAGATAACATAGTTACCTAGAGAAAAAATTTTATCTAAAATTTGTATGTTTAATGCAAAATATATGATGTTTATATTAAAAATGATCACCAAATTATAAGAATTCCAGCAATGTAAATTATATTCTGACCGGGTAATTTGTATGAATTTTATGAGCTAAAACAAATATCTTCAGTTAATAAAAAAAAAAAAATATTCTTCACAGGGTAACAGATGGTCAGTCGGTCCCTCCCTCCCCCCAACCCCCCACCAACCGTCCCAAGGAGATGTGTGGGAAAACCAGAATACTTAACTTTTTTGTAATAAATAATACCTCAAACTAAAGTTAGGATAATATAATTGACATTGCTGGATTCCTTGTAAGACCAGGAATATTTTGAATATAAATGTCATATATTTTGCACAAAAGATAACATATTTACTCAAGAGTAAACATTTTATCTAAAATTTGTATGTCTAATGCAAAATATATGATGTTTATATTCAAAATGATCACCAAATTATAAGAATTCCAACAATGTAAATTATATTCTGGCCGGGTAATTTGTATGAATTTTCTGAGCTAAAACAGGCAGTCAGGCAGGGTGGCGGGTGGGGCAAATCTAAAAATAGCGTCTCGAGCCGGACACTCACCGCGTATATGATGAAAAAATCCGTGTTAAGTGAAAGTTCAGCTCTGGCGAGGCACCGCGTATATGATAAAACGCGCTAAGTGAAACCGCGTTAGGCGGGGTAATACTGTGTGTGTATATATATATATATATATATATATATATATATATATATATATATATATATATATATATATATATATATATATATATATATATATATATATATATATATTGCAACCTCGAAAATTTGAATTGCATGGGCCCATGAAGTATATGAATTTTAGAAAATTTTTCATTTTAGATGTATGGAAGTGCCAGAGCAAATCGTTGTACAGTAGTACCCCGATTTACGCGGTCAATTGAACCCACAGGGTACCACGGAAAGTGAAAACCGCGTAAAGTGAACAACAGAACATATGGGATTAATTCCAATAGAGACTGGCCCGACCCCCCAAACTCCACTTTTTCCGACACAATACCTATGTTGTATTAAAAATAACATCTAAATTTTATGATGGTATGCTCACACAATTAATATTTAAGAGAAATACACTCGCCAGGTTAATGTCCATTCAAATAATGGACTCAAATCCCCCCCCCTTCTTCCCAGCTCACTGGCCCCTACCTCTCTGAGAAATGATTGGGTGAAACACTAGATTTTAACGTTTAGTAATAAATAATACCTCAGACTAAAGTTAGGATAATATAATTGACATTTCTGGATTCCTTGCAGGTCAGGGAATATTTTGAATGTAAACTTCATATATTTTGCACAAAAGATAAAATACTTGCTTTGTGTAAACCAAATTATTACATTAGATCTAAAATTTGTATGTCTAGTGCAAAATCCATGATGTTTATATTCAAAATGATCATCATATTGTAAGAATTCCAGCAATGTAAATTATTTTCTGGTCCAGTAATTTGTATGAATTTTAAGAGCTAAAACAAATATCTTCAGTTAATAAAAAAAAAATATTCTTCACGACACTATCTGTCAATCAAAGTACCCCAACTTGCCTCCCCCCCTCTTCCAACTGCGCCAGATGGTCGGTCAGTCCCAATCCTCCCCCCCAACCCCCACCTTCCCTCCCTACCAGAGAAATGTTGGGTGAAAAAACTAATTTTAACTTTTAGTAACAAATAATACCTCAGACTAAAGTTAGGATAATATAATTGACATTGCTGGATTCCTTGTAAGACCAGGAACATTTTGAATATAAATGTCATATATTTTGCACAAAAGATAACATATTTACTCAGAGTAAACATTAGATCTAAAATTTGTATGTCTAATGCAAAATCTATGATGTTTATATTCAAAATGATCATCAAATTGTAAGAATTCCAGCAATGTAAATTATATTCTGGCCGGGTAATTTGTATGAATTTTATGAGCTAAATAAAAAAAAAAAATTATACTTCACGCGTATATGGGTAGATGAACCCCGGAAAGTGAAAGTTCGGTTCTGGCGAGGCACACAGCGTATATGAAATCAGCGTAAAGTGCAAAATAAACCCAAAGGAGATGTCTTTTATGTATGTATGTGTGTATGTGTGTGTGTATATATATATATATATATATATATATATATATATATATATATATATATATATATATATATATATATATATATATATATATATATATATATATATATATATATATATATATATATATATATATATATATATATATACAGTATATATATATATATACAGTTAACCCTCACTTTACGCGGTTGATGTAACCCGGAGGGTCCCGCGTAAAGTGAGATACGCGTAAAGTGAATAACATAACATATGGGATTAATTGAAATGGAGTCCGGGCCGATCCCCAAACTCCACTTTTTGACGACACACAACTATGTTGTAGTAAAAATATTATCTTAACTTTATGATGGTATGCACACACAATTAATAATTAAGAGAAATATCAATAATATTAGGTTTTTTAACACTTACATTAGTGGAAAAAATGGCTGGGCACACGGGGATGGGCGGTTGGTTCCAAGGCAGAGGGCAGATTATTGGCCCTCACCTGTGTCACTTGTATCAATTGTATCACTATCCATCACAGAGGCTTACAGGGCCTCTTTGTCAAACTCCCCAAAGTCCATATAAGTCCATATCCTCACCATAATTATCACTATCACTGACTTGGGCCGGCTGTGGCGGGTGAAGAACTGGTAATGTTTTGATGACTGGGCGACCTTGTGCGCACCATGTTCGCGCCGCTTACACAACATGGCGGATGGCGGGAGGTTTGGATCCAAAAATGGCGCGGCTCGCCAGCCACTCTCCGCGTAAAGGGGGTACACGCACCGCGGAATGTGAGCATCCTGGGTTCCGGCAGGGCACCGCGTAAACGTGGAATGTGGGACCGCGTAAAGTGAGGGTTAACTGTATACCGATAAATCACTGTGGGTCGCGGCGTGATCTGGGTATGCTGATAACCACAGGAAAGAAAGAAAACCTGTATTTCCCCAAAGCTTTCGATGTAATTCCTCTTCAGGGGTGAGTACAGACTAGAGAAATACAAACCAAGGTGTATATATACAGAGGAGGGTGAGACCAGGTCCACAATGGTCAGGTATTAGGTAATGACCCTACTAATCTTTAAGTAGCACACAACGGTTGGTGGTCAGGTCAGATGGTCAGGTGACCCGGCCTTCTCACCTGGTTACAAATCCTCTTAATTACAAAATTGTC